AACAAGAAAGAGAAGAGAGTGAGAAATATTTGAACAAATAGTGGGCTCAGATCTATTTAAAAATGGCTCAAATCTGTTCAAAATGATACAGACAGATAGGTATGTATGAATATATGTAAGTAATTTGCACAGACAAGAAATGGATAGATAGGAAAAATTGGATTGGTCAAAGAAATGTGAAGAAAGAAATAGATAGAGAGAAAGTTTGAAACTAATGTTAATTTGAACAGATAGATAAAAAAAAGGTTATAAAAATTCAATAGATAAAAAAAATATTTCAACATGTAGTTAAAAAAATTGATCAGATCATTGCCTTGATAAAGAGAAATTTCAACAGATAGTGAAACTTTGAATAGATAAGGTGACAAAATTGAACAAATAGTCAAAAAATTTAAACAAATAGATATAAATTTGAGCAGATAGTCTACAAAAAGTCAACAGATAAATTAAGGGGTAAAATTAAAAACAAAATGTCATTTGAAATCAATGAAATGACTTCTCACCAAATTATTTCACAAATTGTGGATCTTTGACTAACAAAAAATATCTATTTATACCCTCATTACCTTGGATTTTTCAACAATTTTCTTTTAGAAAAATTATTTATGGCGCAAAATAGTAATATAAACCATTTACTGAATGATCCTTATATACAAAACACAAGAGGGTGAGGTTCACATTTGGGTAAAAATTTGATGAAAAATTTCATCTGATGCCACACATTTCAATGTTAATTTTTTAAGTTACATCAAATAATCGGTTGATCAAGAAGACAATCAGCAGAACAACGGAAGAACAACCAACAATGGGTAACTTTGCAAGCAACAATGGGCAGCTTTGCAAGTAACTGGTTGTCTAGGAGGACAACCGGCCGATAGTCTGGTATACGTGAAGCCTCAACGATTATATGCAAAACTTTGATGAACACTGAAGCCTCCCTCAATTTGATGAAAGTTCTGGGTTTCCCTTATTTGATACAGGTTTAATGCCAACAGTGGAGCAGAAAAAGTGAACTTTTTTAAATTTGATGAAAAGTCTGAGTAAGAGTTCATAAATTAATCTGCGAATAGCGAGCATATATCCATGTTGCACAATAGATTGAGAAAATATTAAATATTTCTAGAGTAAGTCTAAGTGACACTCGAAGTTAATAGCTATTGATCTAAATTATAAACTATCACTTTTGTATAAGAATTTTAGGGTTCTTATAAGGGATAATGTGTTAGCTGGTAATTTGTAAATGAGTAATGCTATACAAACAAAAGAATTCATACATAATTTTTATGTATAATGATGTGTCTCATTATGTACCTTTCACTTTAAAATAAAATACTATTGAAGATGAATTTATTTATGTGTGTGTCAATTTCTGACCACACTGCCAAACAGGTACTCAACTGGAGAACACCGGCAGAATAGATTAAGCCCGAACAACCTGTCACAGAAAAGAAAAGAATCCGGCGGTGGTTCATCCACCCGGGGGCACTTCGACAATCAAGTCAGTTATCTCTCAAAGATAGCAAAAGTTCTTAACTCACTATTCAGAATATAAAAGCATACCTTAGACCCATGATGGTGCCTCTCTTTTATAACCAACACTTACCTAATCCCAATAGAAGCCTAGCTTCAATGGACTTAGGATTACTGGTAATCTTGGACTCCCAGTAGGATTAGGATATACTCTCTAAGAGTCTTATCTTTACCCAAACTGAAGTCCTCTCTCATTCTAGGACTTTTGTCCCTTATCCGCTTATCCCAGATTCTGGTATCTTCGCAGATAACCTCAGCCTAGCCGAGATGATTTCGGCATCATGACCAGGACACGTGGCACCTCGACTGGCACTTCGGTGACACTTTGGCTACGTGTTGTCATTCAAAAATTATGTCCCCACAACTGCCCCCTAGGTACTATTACCTCGTCATCCTGAGGTGATGGAACCTATATCATTCATTCCTTTAATCATGACCCCGGTTTAACTTCAGCATGTAAATTTTTCTGTAAATTTCAACAAGTGTTAAACATGACCTCAGTTTAACTTTAACTTGTAATTTTTTCTTAAAATTTCAACAAATGTTAAACATGACATCGGTTTAACTTCAACTTGTAAATTTTTCTTAAAATTTCAACAAGCGTTAAACATGATCTTGGTTTAACTTCAACTTGTAAATTTTTTTAAAATTTTAACAAGTGTTAAACATGTCATCGGTTTAACTTCAATTTGTAAATTTTTAAAATTTCAGCAAGTGTTTAAACACATCCTCGGTTTAACTTCAACTTGTAAATTTAAAATTTCAACAAGTGTTAAACACGTCATCAGTTTAACTTCAACTTGTAAATTTTTCTTAAAATTTCAACAAGCGTTAAACATGATCTTGGTTTAACTTCAACTTGTAAATTTTTCTTAAATTTCAACAAGTGTTAAACCGATATTGGCTTGAAAATTCCAACTCCCAAGCATCATTCTCCAGCCCTCTACATGGCTTCCACCCACTCCTTTGTGGACCTTATATAAAAAGTCTTTAACTTAGGCTGAGCTTTTCTCTTCTCGGACTTAATCATCTAGGTCGAGATCTTGTCTTCTGGAATCTGGGATCTACTCACTTTAGGCTGAGCTCTTCTCTTCTCAGACCTAATCATCTAGGCCGAGATCGTGTCTTCTGGGATTCTCCATGCCCGACCTCCCGCGAAGGCCGGTCCCTTGGTCCCGCCATGCTGAGGGACTACAGGAACCGTTTTCTGCCCCCCTTTCTGGGCACCTTTCTTGGCCGTTGGAATTGGCGTATCTTGTAGCAGGAACGGTGGCAGCATGACGTTGTTCTGCATCATGAAATTGACGACCATTTGTAGGGCCGCCAATTTGTCTGCCATTCCCTTCATCTCGTCGTCCCTCTACAGGCATCTATCTTTCTATATCTGGAGGTCGTCCTCGTTATAATACCCGCTCCAGTCTGATTTCTTCGGTACGCCGCCCTCCTGGCCGACGTCCTTTCCTCCGTGATTCTTATCACGAGTCTCTTAATTGCAGTTATCTTCTTCAACGTCAAGGTCTATATGTTTCCCACTCTCAGTAGGGGTGTCGTCCCCAAACTTCTCTTTCTGTCTGTCGTTGGCCATCTATTTTCTTTTCTTTCCCACAGACGGCGCCAAATTGTGTGTGTCAATTTCCGACCACACTGTCAAACAGGTACTCAGCTAGAGAACACCAGTTGAATAGATTAAGCTCGAATGACCTGTCACAGAAAAGAAAAGAATCCGGCGGTGGTTCGTCCACTCGAGGACACTCCGACGATTAAGTTAGTTATCTCTCAAAGATAGTAAAAGTGCTTAACTCACTATTTAGAATATAAAAGCATACCTTAGACCTATGAGAGTGCCTCTTTTTTATAGCCAATACTTACCTAATCCCAATAGAAGCCTAGCTTCAATGGACTTAGGATTACTGCTAATCTTGGACTCCCAGTAGGATTATGATAAACTCTCTAAGAGTCTTATCTTTACCCAAACTGAAGTCGTCTCTCATTCTAGGACTTTTGTCCCTTATCCGCTTATCCCGGATACCGGTATCTTCGCAGATAACCTCGGCCTACCCGAGATGATCTCGGCGTTATGACTAGGACACGTGGCAGCTCGCCTGGCACTTCAGTGACACCTCGGCCATGTGTTGTCATTCAAAAATTATGTCCCCACAATTTATACTAATAGTATTGTCACATTATTCTTATCAAATTTTTTCTATGAATTTTATGTAAGAATATAATTTTTCTTTGCGAATGGAATGAAAATTATTTTAAAAATAATTTATCGGCCTCATTTGGTGATGCGCAGAAGAATCTTCACTGTTAATTTGTGTGGACGGACAAATGGGTAGTGAAAATTTGTTTTGTAAGATGGTCACGTGAATACCATGTGGAACAATGAATAATTTTGCTCATGAAATAGTGAGCACGATCTAACTTAGGGCTTGTTTGGAGTACAGTAAAATAGCACATTTTTTATTTTTATTTATTTTTGAGTTAAATTACCTTTCTATTTTTGTTTGTTTGTGTAAAAAATCAAAAAATACATTTGTTTAAATAATCTCAAATAACTTAAAATAAGTGATTTTATCACCGCACTAATGGCGTTGTTCATAATCTTAAATTACTCGATCATTTTTTTATGTGGATATTTTCAGATTGTATAGATTTTCTCCAACCTTAGCTCACCATGAGTTTCCCTATGTTGATCCAGACCACTTAACCTCTCATACATTTATCAACAAAGGAAAGGTCTTTTTTCTTGTTGATGTCTTTTAATTTAATATATATATATATATATATTTTTTTTTTTCATGAGTTAGTCAAACATTGACAAGAAAGATTGGCAAGTAGTAAAGTAGCTCGATTGTATCATAAAACATTAATGCCCAAACAAGCCAAAAACATCATGTGCTTTAATGGAATCCGATTCACCAACCTAATATCAACGTATTTTATACGTTTTAAAGTCTTCCCACATGCTATAACAATGTGAGTAATAAATTATATACTTTTAATATTATGATACTTATTGTACTAAAAAAACCCATAATTCCAAAGTAAATATTTGGACATTTAAACATTACGTAGTCTTGAAATAATTAGAAAAAATTCACTTTCACCCTCCAAATTATCACTTGTGTCACTAATTCACTTTGCCTCTAACCATTAACAAAGCTAATAACATCATATTTATCAATACAAAAATATTTAAGCATTGGCTTAATTGCATTATCATCAACAGTAGTCAACAACTCAAGCAATGAAAATCAGAGAAATCGAAATATCAAGATTTCCTTTCTAAATTTCTCTCCACCGACCAAAAAATAAAAAGAAGAAAGGAAACTGTGACACATCGATATTTTATGAGGGCATAAGCATGCAATTGTCTTCACAAACCTTGGAGAACAGGAGCAAGCAATATAAAGAAAAAGGCCGAAATTTTCCAGGAAAAAACAACAGCAATCTCAACTAGCCAGAACTGACGATATAAATTCAGCATTATAGCATTTAAGGCAACATGGATATGGACAGGAAAAATGACTAGAACAAGTAATATCCTTTACAATAAGGTCAACTAGTCTGTATAATCGCTATTTATTTCCCAATTGAGTTTTTCTGGTGACAGTGTTCTATTTTGATATTTTTCTTCTTTTACTAATCCACTGTGATTCATCAGGTAATCACAATTCCATTTACATATACATAGCCTTTTTTTTTCTATTTGAGATTGAACTCACAAAGAAACTTTTTCTCAAAATTTACCACTCACTGCGAGTTCCTAGTCTTCTTTGCAGTGAAAAGTTGGCGAAGAAAACCAAATTTCCCCCTTGTTCGTGCAGATAACTCAGTCATGGAGGTACCATTACTTGTCATGGCAGCAGCCTCAGTGGTTTGAGAATCAGTTGAGGATGATGGTGAGGGTGGCGTCAGTGTGAAGAGAAATGCGTTGAGCATGCGGATGATTTGGCTGAAACTGGGCCGCATATTTGGATCCTCAACCCAACATGATTGTATGATGAACGCAAGATCGGGGGATATATCCTCGGGAAGAGTAGGCCTCTCTTGCTGTGTTTTTCAGATGACAATGCAATTGGTTAGCAATGAAAGCATTTGATAATCGCTGATAAAAAAAAAAAAAAAAAAAAGTATTTGATGATAGTATTCATTTAGATAAAGAGAAATTTTATGAAAGTATTTGGTAATGGTTCCCATTTCACTTCCATGATCATCTACATGAAAAAATAATAGTCTCAAAAAAGTGATAGTTCTAGCAGTTGTAAGAGCTACTATCAATAGGTTGGGATAGGGATTTTCTTGGGATAGTCTGAAGTCTAAGCGACTTCTAATATTTTTTCAACTCAACACAAGCAGCCTTTTTCCCCAATTACTTAGGGTTGGCTAGATGGATTCATTTTCTCCAATTGGTTCTATCTGCAGTCATATACTAAGTTTAAGTTAGTCATGTCTTTCTTATCACCTCACCCCAAGTCCGTCATTGCTGTCCCCTATTTCTTTCATCACCATCCACACGAATCAAATCACTTGTTACATGATTAAATGATCATATCAGCTCACATGGCTTTTTCTTACCTTTAATTTCAGTCACTTCTAATTTCTTCCTAATGGATTCATTTCTTACTTTTATATTTTCTTGTTGCTCCTCTCATTCTTCTCAACATTTGCATTCATTCAACTACACTCATTTATTCAACATGTTTCATTCTTAACCATTAGACATTGTGTGTCATATAAATATATTATAGCAGAACTGTAAAATTTTCCATTCAACTTAATAGATATCCCACTATCACACAATGCTACTGATACAGTCCTCCATTTCCTCCATCCCGCCCTAATATTTTTTACCCTTACCATAAGAAAACAAGAATTTGGTTAATGGATTGCTTTAGTTGGTCCCTGTGGCCTTTACTATGGTGTTTTTATTTTTATTTTTTTTTGTGACCGCATACTTCAATACAAGTATGGCACAAGGCTGTCAAGAGCACAATGTTCTAGACAGATGAAAAACATGCCAGCTTGAAGTTTACAGACACATGAAATTTCAACAAGAGGTGCATGGAAATAAACAAAATAAAATAAAAAAAAGGATATGACACCAATGAAGTTCTTTCCTCAAGATATGAAATAAATACAAACAAATGCAGAAGACAGACAGACAGACAGACACGTGAGTCACAGCGTGGACGGAAAAACTTTTGCTGGCCAAAGAGTTAGGAAGCCTCAAACATAGCAGGGCTCTAAAGGTTAAGCCTCAGAGCATGTTCTTAAAGCTCACAGAGCACCACATAGGTGCAAAAATAGCAATCATAGTATAGTCATGTTCCACAATTGAAAAGAAAAATATAACCCACAACCTAAAGTATGAAATATGTTCTGTGAGAAGAGTTTTTTTTTATTTAATTTATTTATAATATATATATATATATATATTACTCTTGTTTTGTTCACTTAGTAGGAGAGAAAGAAAAGATTCTAAGAAAGAAGCCTCTCAAAAAATCTCCCTCTCAAAAAATTTCCATTACATATAAGAATTTTGGAGGGAAATTTTAACTTAAATTTAAATACATGTAAAACTTAAGGTACGGCAAATCCAAAATTTTTTTCTTCAACTCTCTCTACTTTCTTCTCAACCAAACAAGAGGAATTGAGTAGTTTATTTTCTACCCTCTTCTATTTTCCATTCTCTTCCCTTTTCTCTCTCTTGCCAAGCATACTATTAGCTTTTGTAAGGAATACCAATAGAAAAATGAAATTAGTCAGATTTTTGCTCCAATAAAAGAACCAAATCTAAAACACACATCCGATCACCCAAACTATTGGTTTTTCATGCAAATAGGCATGGCATATACATACTATGCATGTGAATATAAAGTAGGCGAGAAAAGGCTGGGAGTATCACCATTCCCCTCCCATGCATAAGGGTGTTCTCTGGCATAACTGCCTTCAAACACCCAATTGACACCATCTCTCTCTCTCTCTTGATGGTCTGCATGTGAACTGCACAACCTAAACCTACGAAGATATTTTACATTATTATAGGGTGCCTTCACCATGAGAATTTTTTTTCTTCTTTCCTTATTTTTTTTTCTCAGACATAGTATGTTAGATGGCCTTTAAACTATTCTCTCTTCCATTTGCTTGCATTTTATAAATTCTTATCGCCTAATCTACAAATTAAGAAATATATATCCCACATCAACAAACAAGAAGACAAATTGAAACAGACCAATGCAAACAGAAAAGAAGGATTATTGATGGCTTTCAGACCTTAAAAGCAGCAGCATAAGCAGCCTGCAAATTGGACATGCCTTCAAATGGCATGCGATTGGTCAACAATTCCCATAAGACAATGCCAAAGCTGTAAACATCAACCTTATTATTGTAATGCTTCTTCTCTCCTTGACGCAATGTAACAGTGCTGTATAACTGCAAGGTTACAGTCAGATTGACGGTGAAAAGAGAGAAAATAGAGCAGGAAACGTTGTTTATGCTACGAGAAAAGAAAAGTAAACTTATACTGAATCATGAAACGCATGATTTTGACAACCATGAAAGCAAGAATGTTAATAAGAGCAGATAAGAGCATTATAAGTACGTGAAAATCATAATACATGTGCCTGGAACTGAGCATGTAAAAACACAGCCATAAACGCTGCTTGTACTCTGGCTTCGCGGAATGGTCACTCAGCTTACATATTGAACATTTTGACAATCTAATTCCGTTCTTAATAACTAGTAGAGGTTCACAAAGTCCAACAATTAACAGGCCGAGTGATGGTAATTAATGGGATAATAAACACATCCTACCAGAAGAATTTATCAATTTAACCCAAGCAAAAGGCACAAACCTCAGGAGCCATCCAACGGTAGGTCCCAGTTTCTGCAGTCATCATCTCAGTCACAGATTCTTCCCTTGCAAGACCAAAATCTGCGAGCTTCACAGACTTATGATTGGCCGTAAGCAACAAATTGTCTGCATTATTAAGTTTTCAAATACATTTTTAATTAGTGTATGGTATAAAAACACAAATATTGATCTCACAATTAAACATCTAATATATTAGTATCAACAACTCAAAACTCCAAAAGTAAAAGAAATATATATCCCATTAGGCAAAGTATTATCATGTTCACCAAATGGATAACCCTTCTCTCCACCACTGCAAAAACCAAAAATAAAAATTTTCTCTCTTTCCTTCACATAAGCAATTTGGCTATGTTTGCTGGAAGCCTGGAGCCGAGCGTGAAAAAACACAATCATAAGCATTAACATAAAAATAATTTTGAGATAATAAATCAAATCCCAAAGTACTATATGTACAAGGCCTGGTGGCCCTGCTTGAGTTCTTCACAGTAAGGAAGAAAAGATACAAATTAAAATTTGAAGACAAGTTGATGGATCATCAGTATTGTTGCTACAATTTCATTCCTCTACTTCTAAGAAGATACAAAATTTGCCAACCTCTTTTACATGCTGTTTATTTAAAGAATACAAAAATAGAAAAATGAGAAAGGGGAAGAAGCTTAGGAACAACTGTCTATTTATTGGAGAGGTAACAGAATCCTCAAAAAATAGTTTTCAACACAGGCAATAAATTGGGTTCATTCCACATTACAAGATAATAACTGAAAACAAGCAAAACTATACAGCTTAACTAGCCATAAGGTACCAGGTTTTAAATCTCTGTGTATAATCCCATTGGCATGTAGACAATCCATGGCTCGAGCAATGTCAAGGGCATAACTTATGGCCACATGAAGGTCAAGTTGATTAGGACGAATACTGACTAAATACTTCCGAAGCGACATCCCTGGCAATAGCTCTGTAACTATCACCATTAAAGGATCCTTACAAGCTCCAATAAACTGCAAAGGCAATATTTGTATTATGCTTAGCAGGATGAACATGATAAATAAGAAAAATGAGAAAGTGGTAACAGGGATGCAACTATTAATTGTAAAGGCCTACCACAAGCTGAATCAGCTATAGACATACGGGTCCCTCAATAATATTTTAAAATGGAAAAATAGATGGAAACATTCATTATACCAAAGATAATCACCTTTACTAGGTTCTCGTGTTTAACTCTTGACATCATATTAACTTCCCGGGCAAATCGACCTTCAAGTGCAGCTTTTTCTTCTAAATTGTTTCCGCGATGGAGAACTTTTATGGCAACAATTCGATCACCATATCTGGAAAAAAATAATAAGGTACTAGGTAAAAAAGACTTAGTTACCAGTCGCAGTGCACCTAAAATTAAGGATAATTGTCAAATAAGAATTAGCATGCAACAAATGCAACTTAACCTTCATAAGTTCATATGACCACAAATGAGAGGAACTCACAAATAAATAAATACAGAGATAGACATAGAAATATCATGATTGTACAGCTCTTTCTGTTAATCGATTTGAGATTGGCAAACTTAAATATAATTTTAAACCAAGCACACTACAAATATCAAGAAGCCCAATCTAAAATGATTAGAATTAGAACCTAGTTCAAATAATTTCATAAATGACCACAGTTCTAATAACTTCACAAACTACAATATCTTGAAACAATCAACTTTTGACCTTTTGTATAACTTTGTCCTAGCAAGGGTACAATAAAGTTTGCTCACATGGTCGTAAAGACGATTATAGTTGGTCACGGAATCCAGTGGTTACCAACATTAACTTCTGCACTTTATTAGTTACATCCGCAATTCAACAATATTTGTATGAACACAACAATTTTTTTCAAACATCGTACAAAAGATATAATAATAAAATTGAGACATGTCAAAAGAAAATCTTTAATCAAAACATAGTAAAACTGTTTATAAAGCAATAATTTAGCAACCAGAATGGTTAAAGCTTGAACACAAATCACAACATTATAAATAAATTTCACAATTACCTTCCTTCATAAACCTTCCCATGAGCTCCCTCGCCGATCTTTGATCCGATAAACAGTAACTTTGGGTCAACCAACAAACTATCATCAATTGTTAACTGTGGGGCAGTGATTGATCCATTCTGTGAAACCAACTTGGGGTCATCCTCAACCGACTTTCGTAGGACTGGTTTCTCATATTCCCCCTCTTCTCCTCCTCTGTTCTTCTCACTGCAACTCATGTTCCAAGTTGCAATCCCTCAGATTATGCCCAAATGCCTCATTTCAACCCTACCCACAAAGCTCACACCAATCCCTTATTATACCCAGATGTATATTTACATGGCAACCATGTTTCACAAATTCAATAAAGGTCAAGTCTTGGTAAACATTTCAAGCAAAACCCAGTACTACCTTATCAAATCACCACACAAAAACCCAATCCTTGTAACTATCTCAACTTCCATATTGAAAATTATCATTCAGAGCTCAGATTAAAAAAATTCCCAATTTCTTAACCAGTAAAGAAAAACCCTCGAATTTCTTGCTCTTGGAGATTAACTTCAGTTTCAAACTTCTGATTATTCAACTTGAGCTTGACGCCTCGTAATCAGACCAGACGAAGTGAAAAAGAAAAAGAAAAAAAAATGAAACCCTAGAAATGAATATATATATATATATATAACTTGAGCTAAGCTGACTGAATATGTTTGGGAGAGAAATATAAACCCTAACCCTAACCCTAAAAAGGGAAAAGTCTCTGAGTTTTCTCTCTCTAGAACTATCACTTCACTCTCTCTCTCTCTCTCTCTCTCTATTTCTCTAGAATGGAATCGGAGGAGGGGTTCCGATGAAGATATTCCGGTGAGGAGGGGTTTAAAAGTGAAACAAAAAGAGTAGTTTGGGAGAAAAGCGAGTGGCGAATGATGGAGGGACACGTGGAGGGCATTTTTGAAAGAGGGTCTGTCCCCAGCATCAGTGATTTGGACATGGACATTCTTGGTTGAGGATGCTTTGGCTAGCACTCCAGTACAGACAAACTACTCTGGCTCACTAACTCGGCTCGGCGGCTTGTCTATAGTCTTGACTCGTCTTTTTCCGCTCAACTCGGCTTCCCAAATTATATATTTGAATTTTTTTTTTTTTTTGGTTGGACAAATAATAAATGTTAGGGATTAGTAAATTAGATTAGAATGAAAAGATTACAGTGTTCTATCGACTCAAAGCATGAACATTTGGCGATTTCACTGTTTCCAAGAACAATTACATAAACCATTGAGTCTACTACGCTGTCCAAAAAATTGCTAATTACATACCTAGGGTTATTTTGAGAAGTTGGCTTTTAACTATTTTTTTTAGTTTGTAGTAAAAGTTAAAAGTTAGCTTTTTTTGTTTTTTTTTTTCATTTGGAAAGTTGGTTTATAGCTAACAGTGAAATTACAATTTTACCCTCATAAGTCAAAATGTATTACATAGGTGAAGTTGTAAATATTTTAAATAAATGGGGATAGTTTGGTCATTTTATTATGATTTGACATCATAAACAAACATTAATCAAAAAAGCCAAAAAGTCACTTTTTACCAACTTGTTAAATCATTTGTCTAAAAAAGCCAAAAGCTTGGTTAAAAGTTAAAAAGTCACTTTTTACCATCTTCCCAAAATAAGCCATAATTTTTGTTGTATATTAAAAATTTATAAAAAAAAAATGATGTGTTAGTAAAATTTTCATAATTATGGACTTGAGTGATTGGTTTTTAAAATTTTTACTACTAAATGGAGAAAAAAATGAAGCATGTATTATGTATTTTGAGTATGAATTTTATCTTAAAATGAATTTTTTGTATTTTGAATCATGTTGAAATAAAAAAAAAATGGTGTATAAGAAAATAAGTAAGTAAAAATATTAAATAAATGGTGAATGAAGAGAATAATTTTACTTTAATAAGAAATTTAGTTGTGATAAAAAAAAAAAATTCAAAAGGCTTTACAATTTTGATTTTGCTTTTCCTTTCCCCTTCTTCAACTCACTTTACTGTCAGCTACCATTGCAACTCCCTATTGTGCCACCTCCAAACCCTCTCTTATTCTTCTTCATCGCTTCTAACTCCTTATCTATAATTTCTCAACATTGTCACCCCACCCCTCCTCCATCTTCCCTATTACTTCTCTATCCTCCTAACTTTTCTCATCTCCCACTCCACAACCCTTCTTGAAACCCTAGCCATCGAAATTACCCCCAACCTCCAACCCCTCATCTTGAAACCTCCCATACCCGTTGTTGCAAACAAGTACTAAACACTTTGGAGGTGCCATGCTGCATTTGATCTTTGAGCAACATATATATAGTATAATGTAAAATGACATGTTTTCCTATATTACAACTAATGACATTTTTTATTAGCCACTTTGGTTTGTGATTTATTTTTATTTTTTTGGCTTCGTTTGGGAAGTTACTATTTTAATAGGTTATTTTAGTTTTTGGCTATTTTAGTAGGTTAAAATTTTTGTGTTTGAGAAGATGATTGGATTTTTTTATGGTTGATGTGATGTTTGTGAGAGAAAAAGTGAAAAGATTATGGGTTTGATGTGATATTTTGTCTTATTAGTTATTTTAACATATTTTGTCTTTTTGTGAATTTTAGCCAAAATTAGTCTATTTTTTTTCTTCCCAAACACCCCCTTTATATCATATCGAAGAAATACTTTATAAATGACTTAATATAACGGTTCTTCTACATCATACTTAATGATATTTCACTATTCATGTTTTGTTGTATTTTATTTTTGGGCAAACTTAACTTTACCCCCTTATAGTTTGGGCGATTTGCGGATTACTCTTCTGACGTTCGAATATCACCACATAACCCCCATGTGGTTAATGGAGTGATGTGCACAGTTAACACCGTTAATGGCAAACGTAAAAAGAACAATTTGCCCTTGTATATATATATATCTAACCTTACCTACCATTTTCACTTTCAACAGTCGTGCATCTGAGAAGAGGAAAGTGGAGAGAACTAGGTTGTACGATTGAACAAAATCACAAAAATCAAAATCAAGTTAATTCTCTCTCTCTCTCTCTCTCTATATATATATATATATATATGGATCCATTTATGTTTTGTTGTGCATAGTGACTCATATATGTATTGATTGATTGAATATATAGCTTCATGATCGGAATCAATGGCTTCTGAGCTATTTTCTCTCTCTCTTTATATGGATCAATTTGTGTTGTGTTGTGTATACTGACTCTGATAGCTTCGTGATCAGAATCAATGGCATCCGAGCAGTTGATGTCCGATGGTGGACCTCGCTATGTTCAAATGCAGTCGGAGAGTCTTGGAAGCTAGAGAGAAACCTACAGATCTAAGAAGTTTTTTTTTTTTTAATTTTTTAATTTTAGGTGAGTTTGTGCTCAGATTAGCTTCCAATCATTTTTCTATACCTTCCCTTTGTTGATGGTTTTGGTGAGCATCATCATCAACGAAGATTATAGCTACAAATTATAATTTGGAGAGAAATCAAAGAAGATTATATATATAGCTACAAATTATATTCTTATACCATATTCCCAACATATATATATATATATATATATAGCTACAGATGATATATATACATATATATACATTAATTTTTGATATAAATTATGTTGTTTAAATTAATTTGTTTTGAGTTTTTGGGGGGTTTTGATTTTCAGAAGTTCTATAATTTTTATTCATTGTTCTTGGCCTTGAGTTGGAGGAAGAAGATGTGAAATTGAGAGAGGGATAGATGAGGGTAGGTTTTGGAAATTGATGATGAAGATGAAGGCATTTTAGTCATTCAATTCGGAGGAAAAATTAAATTTTTATGCCCATTTGCATATCAGGCGCGTGTCATTCATGACCCTATTAGAATAGATGGAAAAGCTAACTGTGCACATCACTCCATTAACCACAGTGGGTTATGGGGTGATATTCGAACGTCATGGGGGTAATCCATACATGGCTCAAATCATAAGGGGATAAAGTGAAGTTTACCCTTCTTTTTTTTTTTTTAAGGAAAATTTTGGTATGTATTTCAAAGTTACATGGATTTGAAGAATTTAATATATTTATATTTTAAAAGACAAAGTTATGAATGTAGTAAAACTTTTAAAAGCAATTCTTCTCTACAAATAGAGTTAAAAGGAAAAAAAGTTGTGAGAAGAATTCATAATGACTACATTTCCAGTCCCCTAGAGCTATATGGTACTTACATTTTGTGTGGATATCCCATTAATAATTTTTCAGATTTCTTTTTATTTCTCTTTTGATACAATCATATATTGTTACTCCCATTTTATGATCTCAAATATTTATAACAAAACTCTATTTTTATTTTAAATAGTTATTTAGTATCATTTACATTTATTACTATTATAACTTTACAGGAATGCGATTACATCAACATATATTTAATATGAATTCATGAAAAATAATTTTCGCCATGAAACAATATTTTTGCGATATCACTTTTGTTATGAATTATGTAAACATATCATTTTTTTGAAAATGTCATTGTTACATTATTTAGAATTGATTTTCTTGCATAATTTGCTATAAAATTAGAAAAATTTTAATTTAGTAAAATTTAAACTTATAATTTTTTATTTGGTCAAATTGTCAATTTATTATTATTATTATAATAATAAAGTCCGTTGAATTGTAGCTTTTGAAGCCGACCAAAGTGGAATACTACAGTGATAGCATGTGTTTTAACCATTCACTTGAAATAAATAATTAGGTAAAAAGAAAGATAGATATGCTTTATGAAAAGAAACTCTCAAACTTTAAAAGATAAAAAGCAGTATGGTCAACTTCTTCTTCTTTTTCTTTAATTTTTTAAAAAAGAAAAAAAAAAAAAGTTTACTGAAACCAAAGTAAGAATGCAGTCCTAAAGGGTGGCAGCGGCTGTGCAGCACGCGCTATCCGATTGTCTGGGAATTAAATATTTTAGTTAATTTTTTATTTTTATGAAAAAATATGTAAAAAAAATAGATAGAATAATATGATAATTTATAGGGGAATGCACTAATAAATCCCAAATTAATAATTTATACACTGTTTAGTCTTAAAAGTTTTTTTATAGACTGAAAGGTCCTATTACAATATTTCAAACATCAGATTAATGTTTCGAACATTAGATTTCGAACATCAGATTAATGTTTCGAACATTAGATTGATGTGCAAATGGGACTAAATGGAGCATAAGAAAATTTTTAGGACTAAATGGTTCAACTTTTCAGAAACGAAGACTTATGGGTAAATTTTCCTAATTTATATTGATTTTTTTAACTTTTTTACTATTTTATTACGTTCTAAACGAGAGATTACTTATGATTTTGAATTTTTTTTAAAGTAAAATTATATTGCATCCATTCAAAATACGATTAATTTCACACTTCTAAAATTATTATACAAATTTTGTTTCTTTTAGTATGATTAAAATGATCATAATTAAGGTTAATGATGGGTAAATAAACAAAGATAAATATATATTTTAATAAAAAATATATGATACTCTCATTTTTTTTATTCGTAAGACTGACAAATTATGATAGAAAAAAAGCCTAAATGTTATATACATTAAGACATTAAGGGACGTTAGTGTAAAGTCAAAAGCATAAGATTAACTGTATTGTTTTTAAAATCATAGTGAATGTGAGTATAATTTTCTCTTTTTTTTTTTTTTAAATGAGGGTATTTCAGGTTTCTTTTGAAAATTAGTTTAAAAATTTTAATTTAATAATGAAAAATAAATTTATAAAAAATAATACTAAAAAATAGTTTGTTTGATACAATCTTAGTTTTTTACTTTCCTAATAAATTTTTTGAGTAT